ACTCACTTCTGAAGGACTAAAACATCTGGAAGATGTTCTAGATGCGATATTTTCTTTTATCAATTTACTAAAGAGAGCGGGTCCGCAGAAAGAAATTTACAATGATATTTATGAGTGTCAACAAAATAATTTTAGGTAATTTAAAAAATAAATATATGTATTTATTTAAGATGATTGAAAAGAATAACCAACGACAAATTTGTGGAACGCCATTTACTTGAAGTTCTTTTTAGGTTTATTAATTACGATAACGAATCAATATGTTTTATCAAACAATTATGTGAGGTTATGCATTTTTATCCGCCAAATGCTTATATAACTGGAAATCTTGATTTTAATTATAATGCAAAAATTATTAAAAAATATTTGAATTATTTGACGCCTGAGATGGCGAATATTATGATTTTCTCCAAGGATTTTAATGATTTCGAATTAAAGAAAATTGAACCATGGTGGCAAACGGCATATACGGATATTGAGATACCGAAAGAGTGGATCGCACGTTGAAAGTCATCGAGCCATTACCGGAATTTTTTTTACCATCACCGAATATATTCCTTACCAAGAACCTTTGTCTAATGCAGATACCAAATGAACAAATTGAGAAATATCCTATAAAATTATACTGTAATTCTGTGTCGGAGATTTGGTATTACCGGGATCCTAAGTTTCGTTTGCCGAAATGTAGTATGCATTTCTATTTTATTTCCCATCTAAATTATGAGTCGTTGAAGAAGTAAGCACAGAAAATGTAACAATATTACTGTATTTGACATTATATGTAAATAATTTTCGGCTTATAATTATTAATATTATGATTTTTATATAATTATTTACATCTTATTGAAAAAGATGTGAACATTAATGACATTTCAGTGGAGTTCTCATACACATGTACTACGAACTATTGAAACAGCTATTAACTGAAAAATTATATCCAGCTGTACTAACTGGATTTAAACATGATATCAAATTCCTTCGGAATGGTTTTTTTACATTAGAAATAAGCGGTCTAACTGAAACTCTGCCAGTAAGTATATGTTCAAAGTGTGCTTTGACGATATAAATACAATTTTCAAGAGATATCATTATCATTATTTATTATTTGTAGCTTGTTGCGGATACTTTTGCACAAGGCATGGTGAATTGCACAAGCTTTATTACGAAGGACATATTTGAAAATATCAAAATTCAACAAATTCAGAGATTTTACCAGGACGTTAGTGAACCTAAGTTTTTCATCAAGTACTGATTGTTTATTATATCAAGCATTAGTACAACAATTACAAAATTCTTATATGACTAAAATAAATGATTAACATATTAATTGTAACAAATGATATTATAAAATAAATTATATCACGTTACATTTCTGGTAGTCAATATTATTTTTACTCTTGCTTGCAGCGATATGGCATTCTCGATACTGAAACTCGACCATCATTCACAAATTGATATGTATAATACTATACAGAATATCACTTTGAAAGACTTTCAAGACTGCGTGAAATTCTTTACCGAACATCTATACATTAAATGTCTTGTGCAAGGAAACATGACGCAGTCTGCTGCAATCAACACAGTACAGCAATTTATTAAAACAATTAATTGTGGACCTTTACCTCCAAATATGAAGCAACAGTTTAGAATCATTCAGATACCATTAGGCATAAGCTTTTACAAGATTAAAAATATCAACAAATTAGATGAAACTTCCGTGATAAGAAATTATTATCAAGCCGGTATCTACACGATTGAAAAATCGACATTAGTTTGTCTGATAAGCGTAAGTATTAAAGGGATCCTAAAGTGAAGCTCTAACTCCGAGGAGATCGTTATTTACCGAAAAATGCGACACATCACCACATCTTTATATACTCTTGCAAAGTTTCTAATATCTCACACATATATATATATATATATATATATACATAAATTTTCGTAGAATAATAACACTTTAATTAAACTTCTAAATAGAATTCTAAGAATTCCGCATCATTTGTTTATGTAAACTGTAGATCAATTTGTAAACTACTATTTCGTAAGTACTGATTGCAAAGCTTTTATATCAAAATATATAATTATAACAAATGCTAACTCCGAGGAGATCGTTATTTACCGAAAAATGCGACACATCACCACATCTTTATATACTCTTGCAAAGTTTCTAATATCTCACACATATATATATATATATATATATATACATAAATTTTCGTAGAATAATAACACTTTAATTAAACTTCTAAATAGAATTCTAAGACTTCCGCATCTATTTTACAAAAATTATTGCATTTAATCGATATAGACAACTTATAAGAAGAAATCTCTTTAAATAACATATATATTTTATATATTTTGAATGCATGGAATCTTTGATGCATATTCATTTATTTTTAAGTTAATGAAATATGAATAAGCTCTTTGATTATCACGATTAATTTTTTCTATCACATTCACTTGCACGTGTTTTCAGGACATAATGAACGAGAAATTACACGAAGAACTCGCAGATAAATTTGAACATGTCACAGTCGACGTTTCAAACCATTACGGAATATTAGGATATTCCATTACTGTTTGCACTCAAGCGCATAAATACAGAACCGAGTACGTTGATAAAATCATCGACAAATTTTTGAGATTGTTTAAAAATTATTTGGAAAAGCTCACAGAAGAGGAATTGGATGTTTACAAAGAAATATACCTAAAATCTACATCACATGAAGATGACAATTTTGAAGACGAAGAAAATTGGTATCAGATCCTAGACCATACTTACATATTTCACATTCATGAACTGGAAATACTTGCTCTAAAGGATATAAACGTTAAAAAGCTGAACGAATGGCTTGCAGACTACACATTGAACGGAAGTAATTTTAGAAAATTGAGTTTGCATATTGTGGGAAATATTCCCAAAAAAGCGAAATACGTTAATTTAGAATATATAAACGACGATCATCAGCAGTACAAGCTAAATGAATATCATTATATTACTAATGTAGAAGATTATAAGAAAAAACTGTTCATATTTCCAACTGAGCGTTCCAATACATCCCTTCAGAGTACACAATAAATGACACATTAATAATTTAATAATATAATGAAAATGATATTATAGCTTTTATTGTATTATGATAATGAGGTTTTTTTTAATGGTTAAATGATTAAATTTAAACTTTTTATCTTCTCATAGCAACTACGCAATAAACCAATGAAAACATCTTTTACGTTTCTATATTTTTTGCGATAAGCCGTTATGAATAATAGCTGTTATTATAACAGTTATTATTGTACAGATATAGAATTTTTGCATTTTGCTACAGAACTAGAATATTCGAAGTTAATAGAACGAAATTTTCTCACATTAAAATCAAAATTGTTAGTTTTATATATTAACGATACTTTTCTTTAATAAGAAAATATATGTATATATAAACAGATACATAATATATATATTATAAGTAACTGTATAACTGTATTTCTAATAATATTTTAAGTAACTGTAATAACCAAACAAAAACATATAATGTGATAATTAAGAATGTTCTGGGTCCCTAATTATCAGATTATTGTGAGCATTTTTTGCAATTACATTTATTATATTTCAATATTCTTTAGGATGAACTGTTATGAATAATAACTGTTATTATAACAGCTATAAAATTTTATATTTTGCTACGGAACTAGAATTTTGAAGTAATAGAACAAAATTTTTTCACATTAAAATTCAAATTGTTAGTTTTATATAATGACGATATTTTTCTTTAATAAGAAAATATAAACAGATATATAATGAAAACATTATAAGTAACTATAATAACTAGAAATATAATAACTAGAAAAAAACATATATTATTATAATAAAGGGCGATGCTCGTTAGGGTGTAAAGTACTTGCTCAAGATGTAATTTTTCATATTTTTTATTTATATTCTAAACACGACAAAATATTTTCAATAAAATATGTCTCTCACTCTCTTTTTTTCTTTCTCTTTCTCTTTTCCTCTCCTCACTCAGTAACGTAATCAAAATATTCATACTTAACTTAATTGATTTAAAATTGGTATTTTTTTACAAAGGCCGCACACCAATTGAGCAAGGCTAAACTGAACGGCTGATTCTACAAATATTTTATTTTTGTGTATGCATACATATTGTGTAGGAATTGCATTTTAAATAAACTGACGAAGTATTAAATATTAAATATTAAATATATACTTTCTAGAAAAAGAGGAAATTTTTTAATTGAACTATGAGGTGTTGGAATTAATTCGTAGCGTTTTTTAATGAAAGAATGTTATTTATTTCACATGAGCATTAAAAAATACATTAATGAAAGTACTTCCCATCACTTGTAAAACGCTACGAATTAATTCCAACAACTAATACTTTTTAAGTCAACTGCTTAGCTTTCTATTCATTCGGAAAAGAAAATTTTGCGACTTTTTAAGATTGTATTTAAACGATATTTGAATATAAGAACAGACCCGTACATTAACTGGCTCGCTGAACTATTGGCTCTCAGATCAGTGGGAATAATATAAGTTAGTAAACATCTACGACTTTTGCTTACCATGTTTCCAAGTTAGTATATCGATTTCTGTTCGAAAGCAAGTGGCATAACGGAAGAAGAAGCCGTATCGATTAGAGTGCTAATTAAAATCATCTATCAGAAACGATTTAATATTGGAAATTCTTTCATCGAATCGTATTATACCGATCGAAATAATGCAAGAGAGTGGAAATAATGAGAATTGTCAAGTCGAATATCTAGAAACTCCCGTCAAATCGGAGAATGACAAGAAGGAATATAGGTGAGACGAAAGAAATACTGATCAGCAATATACACGATTTCGATTGAAGAGTGAGAAATACTGCGACGATAATTTTTTAGAAGAAACATTGAAATATATTTTTTATTAATAAATGGAGGAATTAAATTTTTTTAAATAATCAGTAATATATACAACATTCTCATTTTATTAATATTTTGTTTGTTTGTCTTTTAAATTTAGAGCGATCAGATTACCAAATGGTTTAGAAGTTTTGCTAATATCCAATGATGATTCAAAGACAAGCTCTTCTCAACATCAAGATATGAAAAATGAAATGAAGGTATGAAATTATTTAATGTGTATTTTAGAAAATATCTTACACCAATTTTTTTAATTATTTTATTGTTAAAATTTATTAAAATTATAATATTTCAAAGACATAAAATTCTCATAAAAGATATCTATTTTTTCAAGATTTAATTGTATTATTGAAAGTTTTGATTTGGAAAAATTGATTTTCTTCATTAAGTGTAGAAGAACTTTTTATTAATTAATTTCAATATGTGTTACTCAATTTTAAATCATTTACGAGTCATTCCATTAATTATGTTTATTTCTCCATTTAATATTCAGCGTGTATTATGCGTGATACGTACATATATTTGTTTAAATAGGCAGCATGTTGCTTAAGTGTGAAAACAGGATTTTTCAAAGAACCACCAGAATTTCCAGGCATATCATTTTTCTTCGAGCATATCCTTTTGGCTGAATTCAAAAAATATTGCCAAGTACTAAAATATAATACGTATAAATAAATATGATATAAAATTTATTTATTTGTATATTAAATTGTTTAAATCATTTTACTCTCTTGCAGAAACATAATTTAATAGAACTCGATAAACATGGAGGCAGTTGTAATTACTTTTTTCATTACATCGAATATACATCGTTCTTCTTTGATATTCAAAAGGAATACTTTTTATCAGTTCTCATTCGTTTTGCTGAATTTTTCACTAACCCTCTACCGGAAAAAGATGCATTTATGCAGAATCGAAACGACATAAAAAAAGGTAGATTATACTTATAATACTTGCAACTGTTGCAACTTGCAATCTTAAAATATCATATTTATATAGAATTTCAGACAGCTTTAAATTTAGCCAAGAACAGAGTTCCTCAACCACAGCTTTCCTCCTTTACGCGAACTGATCATCCAATCAACAAGATTACTGAGGATCGTATTATAAAAGTGCACGAAAATTTGGATTACACGAAATTATATGAAGAGCTACACAAATTCAAAGAGCGCCATTATAGTGCTCGCATAATAAAGCTGGTTATACAGGTAATTTTGTTAAAAATTCGACAAACGATTAATTACTTTTACAATATACAGTTTATTTATTTCAAAAACAAACTTAAAATTTATAACATGATACACCTTTTATTAGGCAAGATTACCGCTGAATACATTGGAGCAATATGTCACAACTGATACGTGTTTTGTTAATATACCAACTCTCGATGACTCTACCGAATTAATAAAAAATGATATTCCTTTTGATACTGCCGCTTTTCAAAGAATGTATAAAATTTCTGCTTCGAAACATGAAGAACAAGTATGTAACTAAAATTTGACCAAATTCAAAAAAAGTTTATATTATGCGTTAAAATATAAATATGTAAAATAAAATGTGACTTTTGCAGCTAGAAATAACATGGGCCATGCCTTCGCAATTGGCTTTATATAAAAGTAAACCATATCGATATATCGCATGGCGTATTGGAAATGAAGAAATAGGTTCCCTAATTTATTATCTACGCGAAAAATTATGGAATATTTCCAATAAGAAAATTTGTTACGATATACATACTATCGCGTACAGCTTAGTCAAGATTAGTATAGGTCTCTCCAGTAAAGGAAAACAACATATAAAGAAGATACTAGATACGATATTTTCCTATATCAATTGGTTAAAGAAAGAAGGTCCGCAGAAAAAAATTTACGACGAATTTAGTCAGCGTTCAGAAAATAATTTTAGGTAAACTAGTTTTAGAAATAAATAGATACCTACATGAAAGATAATTGAAAAAATAAAATATTCGTGAAAAACATCATTTATATTTGGAGATCTTTTTAGATATCTTGATGAAGAAAATCCAATGGATAATGTGAAGGATTTATGTATAAATTTGCACCTCTATCAGTCGCGCGATTATATAACTGGAAGCAAAATTTATTTTGAATATGATCCAAAAGCTATAACAAACGTTTTGAATTATTTAACGCCAGAGACTGCAAATATTATGATTTTCGACAATGACTTTGGCAATCTAACATTAGATAAACTCGATTCATGGTCGAAAACGTATACAGACATCGAGGTACCACATGAATGGCTCGAACATTGGAAATCCATCAAGCCATTGCCAGATTTTTATTTACCGGAGGCTAACCTTTATGTTGAATATTCTTTAGAATTACCTGCAAAAGTTCCAAAATATCCTGTAAAATTGTACAGTAATAATATAGCAGAGCTGTCAAGCCATTGCCAGATTTTCATTTACAGGAGGCTAACCTTTATATTGAATATTCTTTAGAATTGCCTGCAAAAGTTCTAAAATATCCTGTAAAATTGTACAGTAATAATATAGCAGAGCTATGGTATCTCCCGGATTCCAAGTTTGGTTTGGCAAAAACTTATATGTATACACATTTCATTTCCTCTCTAGGACTTCAATCACCGGAGAAGTAAATAATATAGCATAATGTATTATAATAATACTGCATTGTGTAGTATTACTAACTCTAAATACACTAATTTCTAAATTGAAATTATTAATACGATTCCATAATTTTTTGTTTGTATCTTTTATTTTTAAAAAGCTTCTCTTTTTAATAATATTTCAGTGCCGCTCTCATGACAATGTACTGCAACATATTAAAACTACAAGCGGTGGAAGAATTACATCCAGCTGTAAAGAGTGGGTTATACACCTATGACATCAGTCTTAGTGAGAAAGGAATTATAACAAAAATATCCGGACCTATGCCAATTGTAAGTATATATTCAAAGCAAAGTTACATAGTTTCGATGTATATTATTTTTACTTTATTTATATTGCAGTTGTTGTTGTCAATTATAATAAAATATATGAAGTATTTGGATGTTACAAAGGAAATGTTCGAAATAATCAGAGATCAACAAATTAATCTCTATCATGATACATTCACTAAACCTGGGAAACTCGCTGAGTACTGGCTATTTATTGTCAAATAATTGCAACAAGATTATAAAATTTTTACATAATTGAAAGAAACTATTAAATCTAATTAATAATTAATAATAGATATTAAATAAAGAATTAATTTAGTAAAATAAATAATTATAATAAATGTTATATTTTTTGTCAATTAGACAATAATGAATATATCTTTAATCTTTTTTGCAGGGATATGAAATTATGTATATTAAAATTAGTCCATTATACATACGTTGATATGCACAATGCTCTACAAAATGTCAGTTTTGAAGAATTCAAAGATTTTACAAAATCGTTTACCAATCGTCTATACATTCAGTGTCTCATGCAAGGCAATGTAACGCAGGATTCTGCGTTCTTGTCTATACAAGAATGTATTGGAATACTTAAATGTGACTCTTTATATTCTAGTACGATGCAATCGAATAGAGTCTTTCAGTTACTCTTGGGCACAAGTTATTACAAATTGAAAAATATCAACAAACGTGATCCAACTTCCGTTGTGGTAAATACTTATCAAATCGATGTCACGTCAATTGAGCTATCAGTATTAATGAGACTAATGATTGTAAGTATTAAATAACATGATTTTGTATGACTGATTTTGTATACTCTTAGGTGTTTATTCATCTATTTTTAAAAGTAAAATATGAATAACTTCTTCGACTATTGCGATTAATTCTATTCTTAAGATAAATTATATTTATCCGCACGTATTTTCAGATGATAATGAAAAAACAATTGTCAATGCAATGTGAATTAAAAAATCAAGATAATCTTATACAAGATATTTCATGCGACTGTACAGATGTCGATGGGATTTTAGAATATTCTGTTAGTACCACTTATTCAGTAGAAAATAAATTATACACAACTGAGGACATTGCGAAGTGGATGGATGAATTTCTGGTATTTTTTAGAGAATTTTTGAATAAATTCTCAGAAAATGACTTAGATGATGTGAAGGAAAGATTTAGAATATTTAAGCAACATGCTGATATGAATGTTAGAGAAGAAATTAACAGAAACTGGGATGAGATCATGAAGTGCGAATACATGTTTGACAGACACGAGAGAGAAATACTTGCATTAAACAAAATAAAAATAAACGAACTAAGAGAATGGTTTGATAAGTACACGCGGGACGAAAATTATATGAGACAATTGAGTGTACATATTGTAGGAAGTAAATCCGACAAAATGCCATCCATTGCTGTGGAATATATAATCGACGAACATCAACATAATGACGAAGAAAAATATATTACTAAAGTAGGACAATACAAGAAAAACCTTTACGCTTATCCAGCATTTGAAGGATACTCGAATTAGAGTGCA